ACCTCAAAGTCCCACTGAACTTTAACCTCTCCAACCTTGCATTTTCCGTATGAAAATCATTTGAGGTGGCCTGCAGGTGAGGCCTTGTCACCCACCCATCAGTGTGTGTCAAGCGAAGGAATGAACGGACAAACAAGTGAATGATGAGAGAACTCTCCTCTTCGCCCAGTCCTAGAGCATCCCATGTCCCCCAGAGCACATTCAGAGCGCTGTGAAGGGCCGGGCCGCCACTCTCCCTTCCTTGTCCCTCCCGGAAAGTCATCCAGAAGTTCACGCTCTGTTGCGAAGGGGACAGCTCCTCCTTACAGGAACCAGGGATGGGCGTTCATGTTGGGCTCTGCTCTTTGGCCATTGTGCGGAGGGGAAACCCCAGAAGTTCCTCTTTCCCGGAGGACTCCTTAATCATAGGGGGATGACTCTCACGTCGGGCGGGAATCTGAGCCCTCATCCCGAGGAAGGAAGCCAGCTCCTCTCTACCCAACAGGACTGGCTTTTCTACTCTTAATGTTTAGTTGGAGTATGGCTGATGGGCGATGCCGGGTCAGGGCGCACGACACAAGCCGGCACATGTCGTCAGTAGAGTCACTGCATGACACTGTTACCGTAGCCTATGTTCCCTGTTCCACACATTTTATCCCTGTGACTTACTTAGTTCACAGCTGGAAATCTGTTATAGTCAAATTTACCTATTCTCCTTCACCTGTTCCCCCCGCCAACCCAGACCCCCAACCCCCGCTGCCCTGGTGACCACAACTTTGTTCTCTGTATTTGAGTCCTTTTATGCCTTGTTTGGATTTTATTTGTTTGTTTGTTTTGTTTTTAGAATCTGTGTACATGTGAAATCATATGGTACTTGTCTTTCTCTGTCTGACTTACCTCACTGAGCACTGTACCCTCTCGGTCCAGCCATGTTGTCACAAGTGGGATGATTTCCTCCCGTTCGGTGGCTGAGTGACATTCCGTCGTGTGTACACACCACGCCTTCCTCATCTGTTCGTCTGCGGATGGACACTCGGGTGGTTTCTATACCGTGTCTACTGTAAATAATGTTGCAATAACCGGAGGGGTGCACATGTCTTTGGAATTCGTGTTTTTTGTATTCTTCAGGTAAATACCTAGAAATAGAATCACGGTGGTTCTGTTTCTAACTGTGAGGACCCTCCGCACCGTCTTCCAGAGTGGCTGCCCCAGGTTACATCCCCAGCAGTGCACAAGGGTCCCTTTTCTCCACCTCCTCACTAACACTCGCTGCTGCTTCTCTGTTTTAATGCAGCCGTTTGGACAGGTGTGAGGCCGTCTCCCACTGTGGTTTGGGTTTGCGTTTCCCTGACGCTGAGGTGCTGAGCATGTTTTCATGTGTCTGTTGGACATTTGTGTGTCTTCTTTGGAAAAATGTCCCTTCAGGCACTTGGTCTGTTTTAAAATTTGTTTTTGGTGTTGAGGTGCTTGAGTCATTTAATATGCTTTGGACATAAATCCCGCATCAGATATGCCATTTAAAGTATCTTCTCCCGTTCCAGAGGTTGAATCTTTTTTTGCTGATCTTTTCCATCGCTGCGGGAACCCTTAGTCTGATGTGGTCCCAGTAGTTTCTCTTTGCCTGTGTTTCCCTTGCCTGGGGAGATTTATGCAGGAAAACATTGCAAAGGCTGAAGTCTAAGAGTTTACTGCCCGTGTTTTAGGAATTGGATGGTTTAAGGTCTCACACTGAGGTCTCTAATCCACTCTGAGTTTATTTCTGTGTATGGTGTTGGACAGTGGCCCAGTGTCATTCTTCTGCATGCACTGTCCAGCTTCCCAGAACCATCTGTTGAAGAGACTGTCCTTTCCCCACTGGATACCCTTGCCTGCTCTGTTGACTTGATCGACCATACGATCGTGGGTTTTTTTGGGGGTCTGTAGTCTGTTCCATTGATCTGTGTGTCCATTTTTATGTCAGGGCCACGCAGTTTGGGTTCCTGCAGCTTTGTGGTATAGTCTACAATCTGGGGTTGGGATACCTGGAGATTTGTTCTTCTTTCTCACGATGATTTTGGCTTCAGGGTCTTCTGTGGTTCTATAAATTTTTAGGGTTATTTACAGAACCAGTTTTTTGGGATGGAAGGGGCTAAATCAGCTGCACCAGCTCTCCTACAATCCCTCAGGGCTCTGTGGCGAGCTCACTGTCAGACATTCCCCTGGAGCCTAGAACTCCGTCCTACTCCCAGACTGAGCTAACAGAGAGATGGCAGAAGGGGAACTCTTGGCATCTACGAAGCTCTGTCCCCTGCCATCTTGGCCCGCAGCTGCTCTGCCCTCTTCAGCAAACTGCGCCCCCCCAGGTCCCCGGGTCCCCGGGACCCCCCGACTTCCACTTGCTCATCTGTAGTGTTTCATTCTGGCACCTGGGGCAGTTGAGCTGTCTCTTCTGCCTTCGGGGCCATAATCAGACTTGATAAGGGCTTCCAGGTCTGTATGAGGAGTGCAGTGGTGGAAGTCAGAGAGTTCCATGGGCCTGGAGGGTAAGCCCCTACATGTTTGCAAAAGATGGTGGTCAGGGAAGGCTTCATGGCGGCAGTGACAGAGGCCCTAGGAGACTTGCCGGAGACCACAGGGTGCAAAGGTGTGGAGGCTGGAGAAAGTCTGGGTGTTATTTAGGAGAAACACTTTTTTTTTTTTTAATAGGAGAAACACTTTGAAAAGGTGGGTGGCTGCATGGCTGGAAGGGATTAGATTTTCCCTGTGCCTCCAAGGATGTGGTGGGGAAACCAGGGTGGAGGGCCGGCAGGCACAAGGTGACAGATCCTGGCTTGGTGTGATGCAGAACCGTCCCAGTGCCAGCGCCACATTAGGAAGCTCCCTTTCCTGGAGGAGTTCAGGCCACCACCTGCTGGGGACATTGGGAGCATCAGTCAAGCAGGGGGTGGCAGGTGGGTTTTAATCAATGATTTTCAGACTGTTTTCAAGACAAATCCGTTTTCTCAAAGGGAAGCTTCTAGTGGGCAACAGACGAAGGCTGAGATGCCAGAAGAGAGCCGGGCGGGGCTTTGGAGTCCCATCGCCTTGCTGCCCCCTCCCTTCCAGCTCGAGACTCGTGACACCCAGAAGCCTTCCGTCTACCAGTCTTGGTCGCTCCACCTCCTCCCTCTTATCTGCACACCACCCACAGGAAAGGAGCACGTGGGATATTCTAGAACACCTGCAGGGTCACTGTTTGTTGAGAAGCCTCCATGGACCAGCTGCCTGCTGGGGATGAGGCCCATGTGCGCATGTGCCGAAGCCTGGCCCATGGAGACCACGGTCTGGAGCGGAGGCAGGGTCACAACATACTCATGGGACACTGGGAAAGGGAGGGGGTGCTGAGGGGTAGAGGTGCGTGCCCCACCCTGGGGTATCCCCAGGTCCCCCAGCTGGTTCTCTTTCTCCAAACTGCCTCCAGAAGGTGACTCCCACCTGGTCGTGAAGGTCAGGGAGAAGGCTGATCAGAAGATGAGTCTCCCCAGTCTCAGCATCCTAAGTCAGGCAGGGAAGGGACCTGGGGCTTCTAAACTCTGCCCCCCAAGCTCACACAGCCTGGAGGAGTTCCTAGAAATACCATACCCTCAAGTGGGGCCAAATCCCTGTAACCATAGCAGAGGCCCCGGGCCCTTAGAGCAGAGGCCGGCACGGTCCGCCGGCAGACAGCCCAGTGACCGGCTACAGCCAGCCGGCACTGTGGGGCAGTGGAAACCTGACCTCCTCCTTCTGACCTGACCTTCTGACCTGCTCAGCAGTGGGGAAAGAGCCGGGACAGCCAGCCCATGGAGAAGATGGGATTTGAGGCCCTTTTGTCTCCACACTATTTTGTTGTGAAAAGATTTTATTTGTTGGGGCGCCTGGTGGCTCAGTCGGTTAAGTGTCTGCCTTCTGCTCAGGTGATGATCCCAGGGTCCTGGGACTGCTTCTCCCTTTCCTTCTGCCCGCTGTCCCACCCACTTGAGCCCTCTTTCTGACAGAGAGAGATAGAGAGAGAGCGAGAGCGAGCGAGAGAGACAGAGAGAGAGAGAGAGAGCATGATCAGGTGGAGGGGCAAGGGTGGAGGGAGGAGCGGGCTCCCCGCTGAGCAGGGAGCTTGATTGGGGGATCGAACCCAGCACCCTGGGATCATGACCTGGGCTGGAGACAGACACTTCGCTGACTGAGCCCCCAGGCTTCCTTCTGCATGACTTTGAGCAGCTCCACCGCTTTATGTCCTGGGACTGGGCCCTTCCCCACTCTGTCTCACTTTCTTCACTTGTGCAGGGAGCTCTGGACCTAAAGTAACATGTCCTCGTGGAAGTGGTTGGCCTTAATGGCTGCAGGGACAGGACTGGAGCTCTTTCCTCCAACCAGCAGGCGGAGCTCTTCTCTCTCCATCTTGCGGGCACTGGGTGGGTACGGGTTAGACTCGCCCGCTCTCATCCCTGCTGCACCTGCCCCAGCGCCTGTCCATGGGGAGGGTGCTGTGGATCCAGGACACAGGTGACGGGCAAACACAGCCGACCCAGTTCCCTTCTTAGACACAACTGCTCTAGGCGCACCTGTGGGTAAGTCCCAGAAGAGTGAGGTCTCTTAGGAGACGACAGACGGCTATGGAAGATGGTAGACAGCCCTGGGGTAACTCCCAGAAGAGTGAGGTCTCTTAGGAGACGATAGACGGCTGTGGAAGATGGTAGACAGCCCTGGGTGCAGGAAAGTCAGGGCAGACAGGGGGGCCTGCATGTCGAGAGGAAGGGATATCCGCCTTTTGCCTTCTATGAGGACAAGAGCCAGATGATGGTCAGTACAGGGAAGTCCTGAGCTGGATTGAGGGGACCTGAGTAGTGGGGCCTGAGGTGGGAGTGGGAAACAGTCAGGAAGTGAGTCCAAGGGGTTTAGCTGTGGCTTCTCACTCTGTCATTAGCAGATGAAGGGGTTCAGCCATTAAAGGGCAGGGCCATGTGCCACCCAGGCCCCTGGAAGGACAGGTCGGGAGGAGTGTGGAAGAAGGACGCACAGTGCTGGCTTGGAGGAAGACTTTATTTTGCTCCCCATTTCCCAGCCCCTCCAGCTAAGGCAGTGGGGCCTCTCTGGGGCCCTCGTTGGGCAGGGGCAGGGTGTCCTGGCCTCCTGGCTAGTGGCTGTGGCCATGGCCATGGCCACTGTGGCTATGGCAGTGGCCCTGGTCACCCTGCCCAAAGCCTGGCCCGTGGCTGTGGCCTTCTCCTTCAGGGGCATTCTTGTGCATCTCCTCATGGGAGGCCATTGTCAGCTTGCCCACTAAGATGGAGAACTCCTCGAAGTTCAGCTGCTTGTCTCCGTTTGTGTCCAGGTCCTCCAAGATCTTGTTTATGGCATTGTCATTCTTCTTCTGCTTCTATGGGTTGGGGGGACAGGGCGGTTAGGGCTGTCGGCTTGGCCAGGCTGGTGGTTTGGCCAGTGCTGGGGATGGGGGCTCAGCCAATGACCCCAGGCAAAGGCATAGGGAAGGAAACCTGCCTCCTAGGCCTAAGGTAAAAAATTAAAAATGACCATTGGCAGTTGCCCACGGTCTAGCAGACGCTGAACATGACACTTGCGGATTTATTCTGCATATAACTTGAGCACTATGATTCTCTCCATTTTACAGAAGAACTGAGATCAAGAGACTTGCTTGAGGTCATGTAGTTAGTATGCACAGAAATGTCTCCTCATTTGGTCTTTATAACAAGCTTAACAGGTGGACTTGGGTACCCTCCTTGAGGAAGCCGTCGCAGAAAAGGGGAACTAGTTCCTGCGGATTGACAAGGCTTGGGAGCCGGAGGGGGTCACGAGCCCAGCCTTGTTCCAGTCCGTGTACCCGACTGTCCTGCTCCTTTCTCTTTTCCTGCCTCTCCCTTCTCTCTCTAGCTTACTCATTAGTGACACTCATGTCAACCTACACAGGGGGCAGCATCTAGGAGAACAAGATGCTTTGTATCCTGTGTGGGGCCAGAGAGCAGTGGATATTGTCCATTGACCCCAAAGGGTGTGACAAAGTCTGCTGAGGGGAGGATGGGAGGTGGGGGGCCAGGCTGCCGTTAGTCCCGCCCTCTGGCTGAGAAGCTCAGCTGAGTTCCTTCCCCAGACCCTGTGGGTGCCCAGCTCAGACCCCAGGCCCTTCCCCCTCCAGCAGCCCCTCCACACGGCCTTCTCTTCTGCACTTTTCCCTGTTGCCCTGTTCCCTGTTCACTCTGGAGCGGCGGCCCTGCAGGGTCTCAGCTTCCCCTCCTGGACAAGGGAGGTGGGTGCTAGGCCAGGTGTGGGAGTCACACGGAGGAGAGCCTCCCCCCACTAGCTCTTGGCTGGACCCTCTCCTCTCTGTGCTGACCAAGCGCCCTGCTTCCCCGTGTCTGCACCTGTGGGGAGCAGCCAGCCTTCCCGCTGTATCGCCTCCTGAGCTGTGTGGGGCTTTGGGGAAGGCTGCCTCCTTCCCCAGGAATGGAGCCGAGACTGGAACTCAGACACCTCACCCTTCTGAGTCCAGGCCTCTGTTTTCCCAAAGTCCCCAAACTTGTAAAGAAAACTGAAAGATTGGATGAAACCACTTCTCCTCCTCCCCCGCCCCCTGCCCCCCAGAGCTGCCTAGTCATTTGCAGATCAGGGGAATAAACTAATTATGTTACTGTGTGTTTTGTGCACACCACTGCCCCATGGGGGCTTTTGCACACGTGGTGTGTTTCCTACTCTGGAGCCCCTCAGCCCTCACACTGAGACCGCCCTGGGGGGGAACATCTCCCCCGCTTCTGCCAAGGGGTGTCCTCAGTTGCTTCCCTCCTCAGTTTAGCGTTAGCCCAAAAGTCACCTCCTCGGAGGGGCCCTCCTTGCCAACCCACCTAGTCGGCTCTCCCCACCCAGCCCAAGTCACCCACAGCGCTCTCTCTTGCACCCTTTGGGGCACTGATGGGCATTGGCTTTATCTACGTTCTTTGTTGCCCAACGTCTTTGCTGTGTATCCCAACCGCGGGTCCTGTTTGCCACGACGCACTCCCACCCGGGACGGGGTCCTGCACACGGCATAGGTGCCAGTCACTCCGCTCTCTAACTTGGAGCAATTCTAGGGACATGCAGCCGGTGCCTCTGCAGGCTGGGCTGAAGGAGTGGCCCCGCAGAGAGCACCCTCGTGCCCCCGCCTCAGCCCAGCCTGCCCGGGCTGCCCCAGGCCTGCTAGGATCCTCTGCCTACCTTGAGGAAGTTGGGCAGCTCCTTTTTGACGAGCTGTTTCAGTTCCTTCTGGTTGAGCGTGTCCGGGTGCCCCAGCCGCACAGAGTACTGGTGGAAGATGTTGATGATAGTCTCGATGCTGCACTCCAGCTGGGACATCTGGTCCGCCATCTTCCTATATTCCCGCACCCTGTCTGAGGAGCGGATAAGCGGGCGCTCAGGTGGTCAGAAGAAAAGGCTGCTGAGCTCCCCGACACCTCCCACAGGCTGCACGTAGGAACAGCAGGGGAAACACAGAAGGAAAGGAAGCTGCGATGGGACTGAGAGAAGATAGCCCCACACACGGGAGGGGTGGGCTTAGGTGTCTGGAGAAGGCTAAAGAGCAGGGTGTTTGAGGACAAGGGGCTCAGGCAGAATAGGAGCCAAGAAACGGTGAGGGAATTTTCAAGTGGGTGGGTCAATCCAGGAGGGCTTCCGGGAGGAGGCCTTGGAGGAGGCCTGTCGTGGGGGGAGGTGAGGAAGGAGTCGGGGTTTGGGGGGGAAGCTGAGAGCTCACTTACCCAAGTCACAGAGCCACACAGAGGAATGTGATGGCGCCGTGTGTGCCCAGCATTTATAGGCGGCCCCTGGCCAGACCCTCAGCTCTCCTGCGAAGATTGCTTCACAGGTGAGCAATGTGGCAACCCTGAGTTGGACTGTCAGTGCCAGGAAAGGGCTTGGGGCGGGACAGGAAATGTCCTCAAAGTTCCTTGGGCTTTTTTGTGAAATGCCCAGCCCTGGGCCTGGAGCTGGTTTGGGAGGAAGCTGGCTGGGGAGCTCACTTCCTCTCCACCCCAACCCTCTGCCCTACCTGAGTCAGTGAGCCGCCCCTCCCCGGGCGGCCCTCACTCTCCCCCTGCTCCGCATGTGTGTGGCCCAGCCAGGCCCGCGGAGCCTTCCTATGTCTGCCTGGCTCCCTGATAAGCCCTCCTTGGAGGCTGAGGTGTTGGCGTGGGGTTCTGGGACTCGTGGGGTATGAGTTGGGGCTAGGAGAGTTGTTGGAAGTGCTCCAGCCCCTTGTATGGCAGAGGAGGAAACTGAGGCCAGAGCGGGGCCTGCTTGGTGACCTCGCAGGAACTGGGCCCAGACATCCTGGTTCTTGCTTAAGGGTGATTCCGATCACACCTCCCTCTTACAGTCTGAGTGAGAGAGCCTCAGGGGGACTGCGTCTCTACAGCCATGCCTTTAGAACTTACAACCTAGAAGACAAATATTTTTATGTAGCTTCTCATTAGGCAAGACGGGTCCCTCCCTGACTACAGACCTCCCTTGCCCGGGGCAGGAAGCTGAGCTGCTTAGCACAGCACAAAAAGCTCCCAGGAAGCACGGCCCTGCCCCGCCGTCGTCCCCTCCCGCCCTCTCCCCTGGGGTCTCCGGGGCCCACCTGCCACACGCACCCCAGGCCTTTGTCTTCGGGGCTTTCACCCTAGTGTCCTTCACCCACGACAGGGGGCAGCCCTACCGACCCCTCGTGGCTTGGTTCAGATGCCACCTCGCCTGGAAGCCTGCCTGCTCTCCTCAACTGAAAACAACTGTTCTTCCCCCAGAATTGTTCCCCCCACTTCCGACTCTCAACGCATCCTCTCCTGGGTTGTGCAGGTATGTTGCCTTTCTCTGATAACTGCCTGTAGATCCTCTAGGGAGGTTCTTCGTGTTCCCACCCTCCTGAGGACACAGCCCAGGGCTTGGCTGACGGGAGACCTCACACTTGCTGAAGGATCTCGCCCAGTGTGGCAGCCTTGCGCCGCCCCCCCGCCCCGGCCCAGGAAGCACGCACAGAGGACTTAACTATGCGTGCTGCCCTTATGCTTTTGCTCCCTCCGACCTTTCCTGCATCTGGAAAGGTGTCCTTTTCCACCTCCACCAGCGTCTCTGTCCCGTCGTCATGAATCTTGTTTGACTGCTCAGCCCCTCTTCCCTGCTCGGCCTTCTGAAAGCCCCAGGCAGCCACTGTGTGTGCTGCACCGTGGTCTCGAGCACGTCTTGCCTTGCTCTGCTGAGATGGCACATGGAATTGTGGTTAAGAGCTCAGACTGGCTGTGTGACCTTAGGCAGTTTACTTAACCTCTCTGGGCTCACTTCTTGGTCATTAAAACAGGAAAAGAACAGCCTGTTTTGAGAATCGAGACCGTACGTGTAAAGGGGGAAGAACTCAGTAGGTAGGAGACATTCTTATTAGTTATTGTTTCATTCATTAATATCAGTATTGGTTGAATACCTACTATGTGCCACACAGTGCTAGATGCTGGGGGAACGTGATGGATGAGTCCTCATACATGGAGGGGACATAATCTTATATCTCACATTCCTAATCACATCTTGGGAGCTAAGGGCAGGGCCTGGCACAGTGCCAAACACACAGCCAGCATTTAGTACAGCCTCGCTGGATGTGTGCTGCAGTGGCCGAGCCAGTCACCCCCTGACGGAGTGAACGGAGTAGGGCGAGGTCGGCCCTCCCTTGTTTGCTCCTGAGGAGGAAGCTCGGGCTGCTAGGGAATCTGCCAGGAGCCCCAGCAGGTGCCTGGGACCTCAGCCGAGCGCCCCATGGTGCCCTCTGCAGGCTCTGTGAGAGCACGTGCGCTCCTGGCCGGGGACCCCAGGCAGGAGTTTTCACAGGAGGCAGGCACTGGAGCGACCCCGGAGGCTGCTGGCTCTGGAGCAGCAGCATCACCAGAAGGGCAAGTTGGGACGATTCACGCAAGGCCTCCGGCCTCCCGACACTAGGGAGTAGTGGAGACGGTGGCAAATGGGACCCTTCTTTCCTGGAAGGGCAGCGGTCCTCAGCCTCAGGCTGTGGTGGGAAAGTGGACCAGGTGTCGTCCCATCTCCTGAAGGCCCAGAAAATATCAGTTTTATGTGAAAACTCCTGCTTATAAAATTGGTCCACTAATTCTAAAGAAAAATAAAAGCATTAAGAGGAAGGCATGGTGTGTGCTGAAGAAAGCACGACCCCAGGGTCACAGCTTGGGCTGTGGGCCCAGCCTGAGGCTCTGACTGTCCAGCCTGCCGTGCAAGTCACTTCTGCGGCCCTGGGTCAGGCCCAGCTCCATAGATGCTGGATGAATGTCTGTGGGACGAGTAAATGCGGGAATGCATGAATAAATGAAGAAACGAGGAAGCGTGAAGTCGCACGCTGGTCTGTTGCCCCGTGACTCTCCGTAGAGCCTTGTCTGTGACCGCAGAGCGTTAACCCAGGATTGAAGTAAAATGGGGGGAGGCGGAGACCAGGAGCAGCAGCGGGTGGGAGTGAGCTGCTGGGCAGGCTTTGAAACAGGTGGGCAGTGGGCTCCCTTGTATCAGCAGACCATAGTGGCCCCCTGGGCCCAGGCTGGTCCCAGCTCAGGAGAGCCTAGGGCTGAGCTTGTGGAGGTCCTGACATGGGCGGGCTATTTCTGGCTCCATTCATCGCTGCCCCGATGCCATCTATCCCCCTCTCTGCCAACCAAGGCCAGAGATTGGGATGTGGGGTGATGGGGAGTGGGGTCTTCTCCTTGGGGAATCTCAGAGTCTCCTGCTAGGGCCTGATTTGGGGCCATTCCCCTGGTTCCAGACAGTGATTCTGGAGGCTGCTATTGAAAGAAAAGGGTATGGTTTCCTCAGCTGTGGCTAAAACAATTAAGCGACCATGTAAGCATGTCTTCTTTCCCGGTGCCCAGGACCAAGAGTGGGTCTGTGTCCCCACGGGTCTGCCCCCATCCTGCTGTTGTGTCTCAGGGAAGTTTGTGTCTTCTCCGTTGTCGGTATCAAACCGGCTATTATAGTGGGGCCGTAACAGAGGCACACAGGTGAACCTTCCCCAGGCTCTGTGCCCTTCAGCCTGCAGGGTCCTGTGTGCAAGCTCACGGCTGAGTGAGGGGCCAAGAGCTGGACTCTAGTCCTAGCTTCTCCAGACTTGTTGGATGGGCTTTGGAAAATATTTCTGTGTCTGGGACTCCCTTTTCTTATTCATTAGGGGAAGAGGTTGGTTCAGCCGGCCTTCACGTCCTTTCTTGCACTGACTCTGGGTTTCGATGCAGTCTTGGTGGGCTCTATGAATACCACTAGCCTCATGGCCCCAGGGCCCTGTCTGACCCCCTGGTTTTCTGGTGCTACCCTGCAGATAAGGGCATGTTTCCTCTACTAACAGAGCAGCTTGAGCCTGGGCCCTGCCCTTTCCAGGCTACAACCTGCTGGCTTTTCCCCTCCACAACCTTATCCCCCATGCCCTGCCCTCTTGCTGCCCTCCCTGCTGCACATTCTCCTCCCCATGTGCTCTCCCTCCAGCCCCTCCCTTTTCATTGCTTCTATCCCAGATCAGGACCCCCGATGCTCTTCCATGGAGAGCTTACCTTGGCGCCCCACTGCTTGTTCTGTGTGTAATGGGGGGACATGGGTACTGTCGACCCCTTCCTGTACCTTTGGGCTCAGTCTACACTAAGCTTTGACTGCCCCTTGTGTCCTGCACTGAGGTCCCTCAGACATGCTGCCCCTGGCCACACTGCTCCGGCATCCCCAGAGTGACCCTTCCAGTGACCTGGCTTCTTAGATCTCCATGTGCTGTGGCCCTGAGTCCAATCACTGCCCCCCAATTCCATCTCAGCTGGCTTCCCTCAGAGCCATCGTGATTTCTGCGAAACTGTACTTCCTTAATGGAAAAATCTGGTGGCCCCTTTTCTGTTTGTGTTGTCTGTTTTTCCAATTCTTCCTCCTCTCGTATCCCTTGTAGAACTATCATTATTTTTGAGGTTCCAGATTCTTCTACAGGTTCCTGACCAGTAGTATCTCAGCATCTCCCCGTTGGCTTCCTTTGTTTGTCAGGAACACCTGGGAGGTGTGCAGCCCTTTTGCACGTGCATTAGCATGTTGGCATCCAAGTACCGGCTTCTGGGGCTGCCCCAGTTGTGTTAGCTCCTCGAAAGAGGGTGTTGTCATGTTTGCTCATTCCAGGATGGTAAGTTTGGCGTGGGAGAGACACCTGATAACGATTTGAAGAATAACGTGAGTGACTGACTTGGTTTTGGTGGAACCCATGCTTATGCTTACAGGTTATTTCCTGTAAGGAAGAAGTTGTGCAGCAGGGAGAAAGCAGAGAAGAAAGCAAAGGGGATGGGGAGGAATGACCAAGGAGTGGGCCAACTCTCCCAGGAAGAGCAAGGTGTGTGCTGCCCCCTGTGGTAGGGTTAGCTCTGGGGTTAGGGCTTAGGGATTCTTGTTCTGGTTAGCCAGGGTCAATTTATTTGCCTTTTAATAAAAGATGTCAGTGCTTAAACAAGACATTTTCTTAGAGTATTTTACGGTGAGTAAAGGTTAGCTTTTATCCCAAATAGTTAGGGAAAAGCACCAAATGTTCCAAAGCAACATTTAAGTCAAAATATCTTTT